TCATGTCCCTGGCCCAGGCACTATTTGAGATGAAGGCAGCAAAGGAAAAGCTCAGAGCAAGAGGCCCGAGGATTGGCTCCCTACCCAGGTGGCTATTGAGGAAAGGCTAGTCTAAGGAGCATTTGGAGTGAGATGATGAGTGCTGTGTAAGAGTCCTCCTTCCCGGAGCCCACAGAGCTCCAGGTAATCTTGCCCTTTCTCAATACCCTTGCTGTTAATTAATTTTCTTGTGAAAATAGGTCAGGTCACTTGGTTTCCCTTACAGCTTGAGACCAGAGCAGAGTCAATCTGTGCAGTCTCAACCTCTTCATGGGTTATTACTTAGACAAAAGGACTTAAAATTGCTGAGAATGCTAGGATCAGGATACCTGCTTCCCTCGGGTAAGTATGCTACCCTGAGTTGTAAAATTTCCTACAATGATATTTTCATCACCAGAGTCATTTCCTAACTCCTGTATATTTTATTTAGTTACCTATTCACTGTTCAAAATTTCTAAATTTTCCTAGATGTCTAGATGTTTCCAGTCTAGGGCCATTTTATGTTTGAAGATATTTATTTGTCTCTTATAAACAAAAATAACATTCATCTTCAAGGGTGTAACAGTTTTGCAAAATACATTTCCCCCTAAGAATGTTAAAGAGCACACTCAATAGCTAAGCAATCATATTGGACTCAGGAATATTCTGAGAATTAGACCCGGATTTATTTTGGGTAGATCACATAACTCCTATTTTTGCCTCAGATTCCTTTGTGATGTGATTGGAATAATAATGAGACTTCTCATTTGAGACTGGACCTGGGAAATAAAATTTTAAAAATATGGGCCCCTAAGTTTTGGCATATAAGAGCTGAAAATACCAGAGAATGAATTTCACGCTCAACCAACAAAATTAATTGCGGTGGTGTTTAAATGCAAAGCAACACACTGACATGGTTAGACATTTAAAATTGGAACTGATATTTATGAATGAAAAATGAAGTTATTTCAAGTATCCAGTGAATACTGACTGCCTAATATGAGCCAGGACACATTCTAATAACTCAAAGGTAAATGCTAAGAAGAGGGCTTACTCTTCATCTCTCTTGAATTTTCAGCCTTGAAAGGGAGACAGTTAAACACTTTTAATATAAGTACCTTACAAGGTACACAAGATAACCTAGACATACCAGGAAATCATTCCATATAATGGTTAAATTATATCTTGAAGTCTACTTGGAATTATGGATGTGTCTGTGGGAAGGTGGCAAGGGGATAAGAGGAAAAGTAAGTACTAGGTTATGAAAATCATAAGCAAAGTAAACCTGAAAGGATGACCATGGCAGTATCTTATCTGTATTAGAATTGTGTGGAGAATGGAGATGGAAAACAAACTAGGCATCTTAATAAAGAATGTTGCAGAAATCTTAGTGAGAGATGGTTGTGATCTGAACTACAGTTTTAGTAGTGAGGGTAAGGAAAAATTGATCAATTCAAGAGACATTTAATGGTTTTAATTAACAGAATTTTCTGTTAATTGATTGATTAGAATGAGGGCGATCAGGGCAAGTGGAGACACAATAAAAAAATAATTACCAACTTGGTTGTTGGTGATGTCTTTCAATTAGAAACAAGAGCAAGTTTAGGAGGGAAAGTTTAGGTTAGTTTAGTTTGGACAAATTAAACTTATAAGACAGAATATTACAATAATAAGTCTGTGGAATGATTAAATGATTATTTAATCTTCTTATTCTATTTATGTGGATGTGACACAGTAATGCTCTGTAGAGAGTCTTTGGGGGGACGTTAGAAATGATGAACTGAATATTTTCATGGTTGTTCCATCATAAAAGCTCAAGGTAACTCTCAAGGCTAGAGAAAGAGACGTCAATGCATAGTAAAAACAACTACTGCAAAATTGGCAAGTGAGATGAATTTTACTTCCTGTGCTTCTCTTTCCTCTTGCAGCATTGCTTTTCATTCTTATTTAGACTTGCTCCTGTTTAATTCCTGCCAAAGTTCATTGCTGTATCAACAGATAAACATGTTTCACAGGTTGTGAAGGGCGAGGTTAAGAATTGCAGCCCTTCTCTTTTCTTCCTCTGCTGACAGTTACTACCTAGAACAAATGGAAAGCAGGCAACTCATTGAAAGAAGGATGACACAGCCTGTGTTCTTTTCTCATCCTTAAATTCCTGAAAGTAACAGTGAACAGGAACTAGATTTGTTTTCCCAGATCTTCTACCTTTCCTTTTCTGAAAAGTACCAAGAACGATATATAGGACATAACCTTCCTGCTTTCTTTGAGTAGATTTAAAATAGCATGGTGATTGGTCTGGGGGTCTCAGTTCAGTTCAGTTCAGTCGCTCAGTCGTGTCTGACTCTTTATGACCCCATGGACTGCAGCACGCCAGGCCTCCCTGTCCATCACCAACTCCTGGAGTTTACTCAAACTCACTTCTGTTGAGTCATCCTCTGTTGTCCCCTTCTCCTCCCGTCTTCAATCTTTCCCAGCATCAGGGTCTTTTCCAATGAGTCAGTTCTTCACATCAAGTGGCCAAAGTACTGGACCTTCAGCTTCAGCATCAGTCCTTCCAATGACTATTCAGGACTTATTTCCTTTAGGATGGACTGGTTGGATCTCCTTGCAGCCCAAGAGACCCTCAAGAGTCTTCTTCAACACCACAGTTCAAAAGCATCAGTTCTTTGGTGCTCAGTTTTCTTTATAGTCCAACTCTCACATCCATACATGACTACTGGAAAAACCATAGCTTTGACTAGATGGACCTTTGTGGGTGAAGTAATGTCTCTGCTTTTTAATATGCCATCTAGGTTGGTCATAACTTTTCTTACAAGGAGCAAGCATCTTTTAATTTCATGGCTGCAATCACCATCTGCAGTGATTTTGGAGCCCCCCAAAATAAAGTCTTTCACTGTTTTCACTGTTAGCCCATCTATTTCCCATGAAGTGATGGGACTGCATGCCATGATCTTAGTTTTTTGAATGTTGAGTTTTAAGCCAGCTTTTTCACTCTTCTCTTTCACTTTTATCAAGAGGCTCTTTAGTTCTTCTTTGCTTTCTGCCATAAGAGTGGTGTCATCTGCATATCTGAGGTTATTGGTATTTTTCCCGGCAATCTTGACTCCAGCTTGTGCTTCTTCCAGCCCAGCATTTCTCATGATGTACTCTGCATATAAGTTAAATAAGCAGGGTGACAATATACAGCCTTGACACACTCCTTTCCCGACTTGGAACCAGTCTGTTGTTCCATGTCCAGTTCTAACTGTTGCTTCTTGACCTGCATACAGATTTCTCAGGAGGCAGGTCAGGTGGTCTGGTATTCCCATCTCTTTAAGAATTTTCAACAATTTGTTGTGATCCACACAGTCAAGTGAATGAAAATGATTCCAGGCTAAATTGGGGCAGGGAAGCCTATTTTCAATGCTTCTTTCTCTCTCAATCTCAATCTCTCTCTCTCTGTGTTTGTGTAGCTGTCCTATTCGGACTTTATTTTGACCTTTTCCTGTGCAGGCATTTGCTCAGTACTCTTCTGCCAACCCAGTTCTCCTCTTCAAATCATTATTTGAGAAGTTCCCCAAATCCATTTTGCTATCAAAACCTACAGACACTATTTCAAGGTATTTAGTGTATGGACAAGGGGGTTCAATGGACTTTTAGTGATAAGCAATGTCAAATTAGCCTATAAAACACCATTTGAAGACAACTAACAAGTCTAAAAAATGCCCCACATTTTAAACTTCAAGTAAGCCTTCTATTATAAATCTTTCAGTTATTTTTAGGATGAAAATGCCTAGAATGTGGACTGTTAGCTCACCAAGTAGAGAGACATGGTCTGGTTGTAATGGCCCTGTTGATTTGAGTTCACTCCCAACTATGATTTTCGATGACTCTTTAGTCTCATGTATCTAATTCTGCTTTGTCATTCTCTTTTTTTGGGGATGGATATTTTTAGACTTGATATCGAGCAAGTCAATTTCTTTCTCAGTTATATACAGAGCTTTAAATATTGTTAATCCTATACCTCGAGGAAAGGCAGACAATTTGAACTAAAATAAAATATTAGCATTCACTCCTTTGCACAGTAGCACTTTTAATTATGGGGGGTGTACAAAATTTAAGATCATTTTGAAAATGTAAATTCCCTCCTCTTGTTATTAAAGTATATACAAGTTGGAGAATGGATTCATGCATTAATAAGTGCTTTTTTTTTTAATTTGCTTATTGTGAAGAGGAAGTTGACTTTTGCTAGAGCCATTTAATTCTTTTAAGAGTAACGAAATATCTGAAGGCATCTATACTTAGTTTTAAAAGAAATAAATATAGGGTGTCTCACCCATAAAGAGTTAGGATTATATTTCCTTTCTTTGCATGAAAGATGCATAATTCATAAGCTAATGCGTTGTAAAGGTCTTCTCACATGTAAAATTATATTATCACTCCCAAGAGTAAGATAGTCAAACTATTCTCTAATAACTAATTGAAGTTTATTTTATCTTAACATTTAAAATGTAATCTGTTCTTTTTAAATGCACCATTAAAACAATACTCAGATACAGAGAAGGTTAGAGTTACTAGAATGAGAATGGAGAGAAATCTTAAGATAGTATTTATGTATTTGTCTTTTGATGAAGATGAAATTCAATTGTTTAAAAAACCTAGATATATAAGCATAGACTGTTTAGCAGCTCAAATACAACTTAAATGTTTTCAAGAAACTGATTTCCTTTTGCCTTTATGGCTTCATCCCTGTGGTACAGAGTCTTCTATGATGACTGCCAAAGATCCTGCCCCCTGGTATTTATGCCTTTGTGAACCTCCCTCATTTGCAAAGGGGCTCAACCTACTGACTTACTTCTAACAGACAGAATATGGCAAAAGTGGGGGGACATCAACTGTAAGATTAAACTATAAAAGACTGTGACTTCTGTTTTGCTTACTCTCTCTCCCTCATTTTGGCACTCTCTCTGGCTTTTCTCTCTTGCTTGTTCTGATGAAACAAGATGCCATATGGAGAGGCTTATGTGGCAAGGAATTGAAGGTAGCCTCTGACCAACAGCTAGCAAGAAACGGAAGCCCTCTGTCCAACAGCCCTCAAGGAACTGCACTGGGATAACAACCACATAAGTAAACTTGAAAGCAGATTCTTCCCTGATAGAGCTTTCACATGAGATCACAGCCCTGTCCAACACTTTGATTATAGCCTCATCGTAGTTCCTGAGCACCTGGATTCCTGGCCTACAGATACTGTGAGCTAATGTGTGTGCTGTTTTGAAGCACTAAGTTTGGGAATAATCTGCTATGGAAAATTAAGTAATTAATAAAACCCCAAATAAATATTCACTACTATACCGCATTTTATATATTTACATTTCCATCATGTGTAAATTTATCAAAGCTCAGTGACAGTTGTTATGTAAATTAAACATTTATACATATGAAACATGTTCATAGTCCCAGAAGCCATTTTTAAACCAGGCTATTTTCATGGTGAATTTCTTTGTCACTAAAGAAAGAGGAAACATTATTTGGGATCTGATGGACAAGTAATTTTCCTCTCCACTATAATGTTAATCTGAGGTCCTGAGATTCACGACAGGTTACTACAGACATTTTGAGTGAGAATTTTTTTCTCTGCCAAGAAGATTATAATACTTGTTCCTCTCACTAAATGACAGCAGTGGGTCCCAGACACTGGGACAACAAAAATGCACCAAGCAATTCCACATCCACCTGGAGAGGGTCATGTTGTTTCTAGATTAGAAGTACAAGCAATTTCTGGATGGGCTTCAGCTTGTCTATGGGCCTTCTCTCCAAAAAATCAATGTCAACTGTTGACTGTTTCTGTGCGTTTTTCTAGTGAAAGGATTCATAACTTTCGCGTTACTAAAAAAGGCTTCTGGTTCCCAAATCTGTCAGGGGTTGCTACGGAAGTCCCTAAATATGTGTGTCTTTTAAATGTGTGTTTAAAGTTTTAACATATTAGAGTAAATTAGAAGGAATTATAAGTAGATGCTGGTACAACAGATAAAAGGTTATTGTAGTAAAGAGTGGCTCAAGTTTGGGCAGTGTTGGATAAAATTCTAAAGCTATTCAAAGTACTTGTGATGTTTTTGACAAAAGGGTAAATCGGATACGTGCGTCCTCAGTCGCTTCATTCATGTCCGACTCTCTGCGATCCTATGGACTGTAGTCCACCAGGATCCTCCGTCCATGGGATACTCCAGGCAAGAATACTGGAGTGGGTTGCCATGCCCTCCTCCAGGGGATCTTCCTGACCCAGGGATAGAACCTGTGTCTCCTGCATCTCCTGCATTGCAGGTGAGTTCTTTACCACTGAGCCACCGGGGAAGCCCAAATCAGATGAGGTAAGGGAAGTGACATAATTGGCTCTCCTTGGCAAAAATGTGAATTATGATGCCATTTAGTGGGTTAGAAAAATTAGAGAAAGAATGGATTTGAGAAGGAAGATAATACAAGTTCATTGTGGATCTGTTAATCTGAACATTTTTGGAAACATAAAAGTCTATGTGTTAGGATGGCAGCATTGGATTTACCATTAAAAATCCCCTTAACTGGATTTATTTACTTTTGCCGTGTTGGGTGATCAACTAGCCAAGAGTTGATCTGGACATGTTACAGGTTAGATGAACATTTTAATTGCTATCTTGGTAAGATAAGCATTTCCATTCTGAAATCTTTTAAATAATTTAACTGGAAACCTTAGTTTACTCTAAGCACATAATATTCATTTTAGTGTGTCTATTTCCTCCACCCCTTGACATATACTAGAGACTTAATAAAGTTTTGGAAATTAGAAATATGTTTTTCTAAATGACACCCACTGCTTTTCCTTCCCAGACTAACACTGTTCATTATTTAGCAAATTGAATGAATTTTAGAAATGCAATAACTACTTTAGTTTGTGGTGATAAATGTGGTCCTATCTGAAGATTGGGTATGAGGGAAAAATAGAATGCCAAATATTTTCTACGTTTCAGAGGTAAGTCAATAGATAAACTGCTAATTTCAAATTTCAGACTTCAGAAAATATGAATTCCTTTAGGTTCCCTGAAAAAGAGCTAGTTATTTTTACTCATTTAAAGTTCTTGACATACATTCCTCTTATCTTTAGTCTTTCTTCAAAACTCACCTTTAAATATGCTATTGCAATATTTTCCAAGTCTATGGAATGAAAATGTGGACATCTATTTGGGTCATCACTAAAAACATTGGACAAATTTAACAATACCAGGAGGAAAAAATTGACTTTTTAATATATATACTTGGTACTTTGAGAACACTCTCTTTAAAAAAATCTGAGGGTATTTTAAATGAACTCTCTTAAGGTTTTGTAGAGTATTAGTGGGAAGAACTTGTAGAGAAAATGTGATGGACAACTTCTCTTGAATATAAGTTATTTGAGTATCACCTCATTAACATTCTAAACTCTTTTCCTTATGTCAAGAAAGATATCTCTCAAGATCACATAAGCTGTTATTTTGAGACTACCACTCTACACTTATAATAGCAACTAATGTATCTTTCAAGCAAGCCTACTGTACCCAAAAGAGGAATTTCAAATTGGCCTGTTTCTCTCTGTATGTGTGTGTTTTGGTGTCTTCATTCTAGGTGTGGTTTTATTAAATCAATGATAACATAAACCTTCAAGTAACTATCATCCATAATCTAGCAGCTGCTTTTTTGAGAGAATTTTAAAAAAACAATATTTAAACATTTTATATCAGTTTATCATATCAATTTTGGTAAAAAATTCTGTGAGTAACGCAAAATCACACATATAAGAGATAGTGTTCTACTTCAAATAGAAGAGCACAAACCATTTGACCATCTCTATGCATAGTGCAAGACAATATGCACTCATTTTCACAAAAGGCATGCAAGATGGACTTGGAATATTCATCATTTATTAATACAAGACATGATGAAAAGGTGATTTTTGAAGTGCTAAATGCATAAAGGTTATATAACTTTTTGTAAAATACTGTGTAATTGGTGATGGGGAAGAAAACAAGATAAATTGGCTTAATTTGCATAAGATTATAATAAAACCATTTTAGACATACTTCAGTATTGTTATAGCACATCTAATTGTGTCATTTAATATAAAAATCAAGTCCTTTATCTAGATTTGAATAGACTCATTTCCACTTCTGTCTACTTGGGCTTACTTAGGTTTAAAGCATGCAGGAGAATATTATTGTGCACAACCATGGTTTGGGTGTTGAAGTGAAGATGTGACAAGCTGCAAGTGATAAATGGCTCCCTTCCCTTTCTGTTTCCCACTCCCATTTGTATGTCATTTTTAAAAGTTTTGAGGTGCCATCTGTTCAGACAACCTTCATCAAAAAGTGTTCTCTGCTTCAAACAAACTGACCTAAGTCAAGCAAGAAAATGTACAGGGGTTGTGGAGAAAAGAATCTGTGACTTCCACGGATTTAGATGCTCCGTTGTGTAGTATTCTAGCATGAAGAAAATTAATGTGAATAAGTTAAAATTTAAATCAATATATAAGAAACTCAAGTGGTGCAGTGGTTAAGAATCCACCTGCCAATGAAGGAGACACAAGGGATGCAGGTTCAATCCCTGGATCGGGAAGATCCCCTGGAGAAGGAATGGCAACCCATTCCAATATTCTTGCCTGGAAAATCCCATGGTCAGAGGAGCCTGGCAGGCTACAGTCCATGGGGTCACAAAGAGTCGGATGTGACTGAGTATGCACGCACCCATACACACAAGAAACTCAAATAGATAGTTCTGGTGTTTGCCATTTCTAATCAATGTCATGTCAAGGGTAAAGATATATTGCTTGCCTCTAGGTAAATTCTTTTAAGTATTGTTTTTGATAATGGTATCAAAGGATTTTATTATCTGAGCACTGCAGATTAACAAGTATTAACAATTTCAAATAGAATTGGAGGATTATTAAACACCATTCATCTGTTCAGGGATAGCAAAACAAACAAAAAATGCTGCTAGAGATAAGAAAGTGTTTGTATGGTGTTTACACATCTCTTGACAATGTCTTAACTAGTAATCAGCGAAAATTCAAATCTTTCAAAATTATTTTTGGTGTCATAGTGATTTTCAGATTAAATTCAAATCCTTTTCCAGAGCTTCACAAATCCTCTTCTATTAAAACTTGTAAAATCTTTATTGAGCTAACTTAAAAAGACCAGAAAACATGACCCCTGAACTGGAGGAATTCCGCATTCAGCAGCGATGTCAAATGACTACTACACAAGATTACAATAATAACTGCAAAAACAAAAGCAAAACAACTTGTGATTTTATGTTTAAACTAAATAAAGTATATCCTGTATACTTTATAGATATTGATAATGAGTTAGAATCAGATCAGTCGTGCTTGGAAACAATGAGTACACAATCGAAGTTACACTTTGTTTAAAATATTTCCAATTACTTGTATGTCTCAAGTCCCTTCTCTTTTGTGCAAAAATACTGTTATGTTAGATCCATGGACTACTGAATGTTCATTTATATATAAAAGTTCTAAAAATTCTTATGTTCGTTGAACTGTGTATTGAAAGGAGAAAAAGAAGCAGAGACTCAACAAGGCACCAAGGCAGAAAATATGAACAAATGCATAAATGCAGAAGTAATGAAATAAAATCCAGTGTAAAAAGGAAATCAGAAGGCATTTGAGTTATCTCTTTATAAAGATAATAGAAATGCAAATATAACCTGATTTTGAGGAAAGGGAGTTTATTTCAAGATTTTAAGCCATGAGCAGTAATGATTTTCACAATTTGAGAAATAATTTAAATGACTATGCAGAACCTGCAGTGGAAATGATCAGACAGTATACAATTTCTTACGAACTGAGTCTGTTGGTAATACAGTATATTGTTGGTGTTTGTGTGTGTGTGTGTTCATGAGATTAAAAAGACACAGCAATTCTCAGTCCTGGGGTCAGAACTGGAAAGGTAAACTCATGTAAAAAGCTTTACTAAATAAAACCTTTGAGCTAATATGTGAATGTATTGAATCGTTGGCATGCATATTGTAATCAAAAGTTCCACATATTCGAATAAAATCAATTTTAAGGCTCATAGCTATTAGCGAACTGCCATGGAGGAAGGATGGTAAAGAAAAAAACACAACCACAGAAAGGGCATGCTATGGGCCAGAAGTTTTTAGCTTAATTCTTTCATTCTTAGGTGGGTTTTGATATAAGAGC